GGTGTCTGCGGGATCCCGGTCGGACGACAGTCGGGCCCGGAGGATGCTCGCCATTCTCCCAGAGCCCCGAAGGCGGTGCGCGGCCGTCCGGCGGAGGGAAGGCTGCTCCAGCCCCGCCCCTGGCATCAGCGAGCCGGCGGTCAGGAGCTGGCAGAGGGGCGCCCCGGCCCCCGGGCCCTGACCCCGGCCCGCAGTCGTAGCGGTCCCAGTGCGTTCGCCGCAGAGGACTGCGTGGCGTGAGCATCTCTCTCGCCCCCCCAGCGCCTCTGCCCCAAAGTGCCCTGCTGATCCCATCTCCCAGGCGTGGGGAGATTACTCAATGCCGGTAACCCTCTAGGAAGATGTCGCCATCCCTCTCACGTAGCTCCTTTCAGAGCGCCGAACTCTTTCCCTGCACTCTGTTTTTGGGTCCCTGAGGCGGCTGCTGTAGCTCTGAAGTTTGGAGAGCATCAGCCTAAGATAAGATCAAGTCGTCCACCCTCTGATTGCATCTTTTGGAAACTTTGGAGGCCTGCGTGCGAAAAGTCAAAGCAGGGGAACGCGAATAGGGCCAGGCAGAACAAGGGGCCCCTCTTGATAAAAACACACAAGACTGTGGGAGCCTTGGACAGGCAGAAGGCGTCGTTCTAAAACTTAATTATAGACATCTGTATTTTAAGCCTTTTATTTTATTTGTGGGTCTAGTGGGTTTTTTTTCTGAGAGGGTGGACTGATCAGAAATTTCAACTGCTAGAACATGACTTCAACAACTTTTCACAATGTTTGAAGTACAGTCTGTGGAGTGTTCAGTTCCCTTGATTAGGTTCGCTAAGCCTTTTTATAGAGTCTAGCTCTTTCTTGATTATATTTTGCATTTTTCATTGCCTTCTTTTCAGCAACAGACCTGGTGCTAAAGGCACCGAAGCCCACTTGCCTTGGTTTTCTCCAGAGTCCCCAGGATGGGGCAGGAACACATTGCTGTTATTTATATATTTTTTTAAAGATTTTATTTATTTATTTGAGAGAGAGAGAATGAGAGATAGAGAGCACGAGAGGGAAGAGGGTCAGAGGGAGAAGCAGACTCCCTGCCGAGCAGGAAGCCCGATGCAGGACTCAATCCCGGGACTCCAGGATCATGACCTGAGCCGAAGGCAGTCGCTTAACCAACTGGGCCACCCAGGCGCCCTGCTGTTATTTATATTGACTGATGCTGTAAGAGGGGCTTGAGCTACAGGTCAAGTCCCTGGCCCAGACAAGCTGGTGGGCAGCCTTCTCCCAAGCACCTGGCAGAGTTCAGAGCCCTCCCTCCAGCCCCTGGCCCTAACCACTGGAAGGTTTCCGGACATATCTCTGGGAGGGAACTGATGTCCTTCTTGATACTCCTTTCCCCACATGCAGGCCCTACCTTAGAGTAACAATAAGGTATAATATCAGTCATGAAGAATCTAGAACCACCTCAAAATAGAAGGCCTTCAGCACATTGCAGAGTAAAATGTTGCCTTATCATCTTGGGCTCTGCTCAGAAACCTTTGTTCTTCCTGCCCTCAACATCCTGTACCGTCCTCTTTATGGGTTTCTCTGAATCTGAGGGTCTCAGTCAGAGCCAGGCGGGGATGTGGGTAAATAGGGCAGCTCAGTTCTGTTGCTTGCAAGGATCTGTTCTGGTCCCAGCTCAGCCTGCTCTGAGTCTGGGAAACGGGTTCATTCCTCATCTTAGATAACACTGTCCAAGCCTAACTGGTTCCTCCTCCCACAAATGAGTCAGGAATCCAATGCTTAGAATAAGAAAAGAAAAGAAAAACAAGGCATAGCACAGTAATATTAGTGGACATTTATTGAACACTCTCTCTGCCAGGCCCTATTTTGAACGCTTTTACATATTAAAGCATTCATCCTTCACAGTAACCCTATGAAGTACGTGCTCTTAACACCCCCATTTTACAACTGAAAAAACGGAGACAGAGAAAAAACACTGACTTTGGGTTGGACAAATCAAGACCCTAACCAGTGACATAACTTTGAACTAAGCTCTTACCAGTTCTCCGTCCTCTCGTCTGTAAAGTAACCTGGCCCTGGGGTGCCTGGCCGGCTCAGTCTGTAGAGCATATGACTTTTGATCTCAGGGCTTGTGAGTTCAAGCCCCATGTTTGGTGTAGAGATTACTCAAAGATAAATTCTTTTTTTTTTTTTTAAGATTTTATTTATTTACTAGTCAGAGAGAGAGAGGGTACAAGCTGGGGGAGCAGCAGACAGAGGGAGAAGCAGGCTTCCTGCTGAGCCAGTTTCCGGATGTGGGGCTCCATCCCAGGACCCTGGGATCATGACCTGAGTGGAAGGCAGACGCTTCACCGACTGAGCCACCCAGGCACCCCTTTTCCTATTATTTCTTTTTAACTGAGCCTTGATTCACTCATTGCTTCTTCACAGCAGCCAGTGAGGGCCAGGTAATTTTATTTTATTAAGAATTTATCTTGGGTGCCTGGGTGGCTCAGTTGGTTGAGCGACTGCCTTCGGCTCAGGTCATGATCCTGGAGTCCCGGGATCGAGTCCCACATCGGGCTCCCTGCTCAGCGGGGAGTCTGCTTCTCCCTCTGACCCTCCCCCCTCTCATGTGCTCTCTCTCTCTCTCATTCTCGCTCTCTCAAATAAATAAATAAAATCTTAAAAAAAAAAAAAAAGAATTTATCTTTAGGGGGGCACCTGGGTGGCTCAGTCGTTAAGCGTCTGCCTTAGGCTCAGGTCATGATCCCAGGGTCCTGGGATTGAGCCCTACACAGGGCTCCTTGCTCAGCGGGGAGCCTGCTTCTCCCTCTCCCTCTGCCCCTTGCCCCCCCCCAAGACTCCTGCTCGCCTTCTCTATCTCAAATAAATAAATAAATAATCTTTAAAAAAGAAATAGTAGGATAAATAAATAAATAAATAGATAGATAAATAAATAATAAATAAATAAATAAAATAAAGAGAAGCAATAGGGTTGCCTGGCTGGCTTAGTCGGTAGAGCATGTGACTCTTGATCTCAGGGTTGTGAGTTCAAGCTCCACATTGGGTGTGGAACCTACTCAAAAAAAAAAATTCTTTTCAATTGATTTTAAAAAACAAAAAGAAGTGATAACCAGCCCCCTAGGCTCATGAGGCAGAAGAGAAGGGGATAGGGGATAGTTTGGAGAAAATTGTAGCTCAAAGAGACTTTCTGGGAATTGAGTTCAAGTCCCACTTTCTACAATGTAATCCCAGTGTTATTGTTTGGGAAAAGAGAACTTCAGCCAGTGCCCAGGGCAAAGAAGAGATATGCAACCAAGCCTTGGAGGAGCCACCTCTTGGGGGCCAGTCCTGCATTCCTCTCTGGTCCTTCCTTGGCGCCACTTGGCTCCCTTGCCAGAGATCTGGGCCAGGGAGAGGGCCTGCGGGAGAAGACGGCACAGACAAAGGAAAAATCCAGAAGTGATTGCCATCAAGAGAGCCATAAAAATGCTTTTAACTTGAATAAATGGTCTGGTGAGGGGTGGCACCGGGTGCGTGAGGAAATTACATGCAAATACCAGGCATCCTTTGTGTAAACGGCCTCACGGCATCCTCTCCATTTGCATGCTACCCAAGCAGCCCTTGGGAGAATCTCCGCAGAGAACCCAGTGTTTAAGGGTCTCACGAGTTTCCTCTAAGCATCCACTCAAGGCTGGAAGGGAAAAGCCACACATTTTATCAGGTCCCAGCTTTTCTCAACCTTGGGTCTAAGGGAGAAAGGAGAAGCGGGTGGGGGAAGCACAGGGTGAGTGTAATTTCGAGGTCAGCTCGTCCCTTAGAGCTTTCAATTTTGCTCATTTGGGCTGTCCTGATTTCAGCTCAGATGTGCATTTTCCACCTTTGTGACACATCCACTTATTTGAACGATTCTCACAGATTCCTCTAACAGGAAGGAGAGACAGCCTGCTGGTGAAAAGCTGACAGATGCAGCCCTGTTTGCAGCACAGCATTCCCAAGACAGCCGGGGAAAGGAGTGGGACGGGGTGGGGGGGGGGGGGCCGGGGGGGGTTGTCTCTGGGACCCAAAAGGGCTGGGGCTAAGACAGGCCCCTTCTTTGCTGTTGGTTTGGCCGTTCCGTCCTTGCTAGGGTGATAGGAAGATTTTACCTCTGGCTGTTCTGAGCGAGTGCAGGTCTCTCCAAAAGATAGGGCCCAATCAGCGACACATGGCCCCTGATCCCTCTCTCAGCCCTTGGACCATGGCTTCAGTGGATTAAAGCTAAAACAACCAGAATAGAATTTCACATCCTACTCCAGATCAGTGGACTAGGCTGACATGGGCAGAGGGGTCTGATCCTAAATGCTTTCGGACCCTGCAGATGGTTCCTTGGGCAACCTAACGCTCTCTGTTGAGGAAAATAACCTTGTCCATTAGGAAGCCAGCAATCAGGCTTTCATATTTTGCTTCTTGCCAAATGTGAATTCCTCATTGTTAATTTCCTCCTCAGCTGTGTGCGGCTAACAAAGGAGAACTGTTCACATGGCTGCAAACTCCAGTTGGGTCTGTAGCTTCTTAATCTACTTTTCCATTTAAGACTGAAATGAAAGACGATGCTAATGCTGCCCTGCGCGGCCGAGCCCAGGGTGAGGAGAGTAAGGTGCTAGGGTGCGTGACCCTCACGTGGCACTCACGCTCACTGCCAGGCCCAGGCAGGCGACTCAACCGCCTGTCCCTAGTTTCAGCCCTGCTGCCTGGGCATCTGGCATCTGCAGAAATGAGGGACCTGGGACATTAATCCTATTCAAGGACTAGTTTAAAGAAATTAGGAGAGTCTGTTCTATTGCACTTTATTTTAATTTACTTCCATTATTATTATTTTTTTTTTTTATTTGAGAGAGATGGAGGGAGGGAGGGAGGGAGATCATGAGCACGGGGCAGAGGGAGAGGGAGAAGCAGACTCTCCGCTGAGCAGAGAGCCGGATGCAGGGCTCGGTCCCAGGACTCCAAGATCATGACCTGAGCCAAAGGCAGACGCTTCACCGACTGAGCCACCCAGGCACCCCTATTTTAGTTGACTTCCAGATCGTTCTATCAAGTACCAGACCGTGTAAGCTAGTTTCAGTACACTCACTTCTGCCTTCATCTGCCCAGCCCTGCTTTTGGTTTTGAGCTCAGCCCCACCTGGGGCTGCACATTCTGCGTGATGAAGTCAGTGCGAAAAGAATGCACCGCTAACATTTCAGCCCAGTATCCACTCGGCTGCCCCTGCTGCCCTTCTCGGGTAAACACACCAGGCAGGCAAAAAAGCCCAACCTCTGTCTCCTGTGACCCAGAGAAATCAGAGTGTGAGAGAGGCAGCGTGGCGACAGCCCTCGTACCCCTCTTTAACCAATGATCAACTGTGGTTACTTAGAAATTCAAAGGAAGAAAATGAGAATGAATTCTCTTCCTTCTCCTAGGGTTTCTTGACAACGCATGTCCTGGCTGGAGCGTCAGATCAGGAAGAAGTCTAAAGGTCATCTAGTCCAGCCCCTTCACCTGACAGATGAAGCAGCTGCAGCCTGGGGAGGGGAAGGGATTGGCCCAAGGCATACAAATAGCAGCATGGCTCAGAACTCGGGGATCCCAGGCTCCATCCATGCCCTGGGTCTTGCTAAGCGAAACGAGTACTGCTGGTTTGGTTTCTTTTTATTGCAGGGTAGGTTGTGCTCTAGGGCCAATGTAAGAGGACAAATCAACTCAAGGGAAAAGCTCAGAAACCCAACACAAACAGTGAGGATGCGACGCGCAATACACTGCGTTTGCATGGAAGCTGTCCATAACCACGCTTGAGTAGGAATAAGAAAGCCGTGAGCTTCTCTCCGCTGCACTTCCCTCTCCACTCCTCGGAAACTGGAGCTGAGGTCAGATCGTCACCTAACTCCTTGCAGGCACAGGAACCAAAGCGCAGCAGATGAGAAGAGGGTAGTGAGAGCCCCTACGGAGGGTCAGATCAGATTCTTACCAGGTGGGTTAAAAGCGTCCTATACGCACTAATGATGTGTCTCTGCTAAAGCCTGAGCATTGGCTAAAGTCCACCACAGGACAGCGATTCAATGACTTCATTTACAATGACACGTTTATTCCTGAGCTAATTGCTTGTTTATTTAAGTGATAACTACCATCCTCATTAGGGCGCTTCAAAGACTCTGTGTTGAGCCTGCCAAGTAATAAACAGAGGTACTACCTACTGTTGTGGTTCTCACAGTACTGTTGGAAGCCCTAGATCTTTTTTTATGCACCATGAGGTGTATATTTATTATATTGCTTGGTTGTATACTGTTATCTTTTATATTCCAAGATGAAATCTATGTATGAAGAGAGGTCTGGCGATTTCATTAGCTTCCTCTCTGGTCTTCCTGCTTCTTGGTCCTGCCTCTAAAGATCACCCTGGGGTCGGGGAGCTGGGTGGCTCAGTCAGTTAAGTGTCTGCCTTCGGCTCAGGTCATGATCTCAGGGTCCTGGGATGGAGTCCCACACTGGGCTCCCTGCTCAGCTGGGAGCCTGCTTCTCCGTCTCCCTTACCTCTGCCCCCTGCTCATTTTCTCTCAAATAAATAAATAAAATCCTTAAAAAAAATAAAAAATAAAAATCACTCTCGGGTTAACTTTCCTGGCATGCTACTCCCTTGCCCATATACCTTCAGTGGCTCCCTATTACCTTAAACAAGACAAGTGTTTTACCCCTGAGGTATTTCCTCCCTCTGCTTCTCATATAACCCACTTGTACCGCGAATGCAGCTATCATTCCTGTTCATGTGTTTGCTCATAGAAAACCTTTCTACCGGGCGCCTGGGTGGCTCAGTTGGTTAAGCGACTGCCTTCGGCTCAGGTCATGATCCTGGAGTCCCTGGATCGAGTCCCGCATCGGGCTCCCCGCTCAGCGGGGAGTCTGCTTCTCCCTCTGACCCTCCCCCCTCTCATGTGCTCTCTCTCTCTCATTCTCTTTGTCTCAAATAAATAAAAAAAAAAAAAAAAAGAAAACCTTTCTACGGGTGCCACTCCTGTGTGCAGTTAATCCCCTCAGCTGAAATCCCACCTTCTCTATGAAGCCGCCTCTGAGAACCCTGGCCCACCGTTGACTCTTCTTTCTTAGAAGTCCTATTTACATGAATAATTTTCTGTATAACTCATTTGATACTTACATGTAGGACAAGGTTCAAAACCCAGCTCTTCTATTATTGTCTGTGTGCCATGGGAAAGTCCTTCAATCTCCCTGAGCCTTACTTTCCTCCTGTGTAAATGACATGAGAATAGCAAAGTGCTATTTGAACATTCAGTTAGACAAGGTATAGAAAGCAGGGGGATACAGCAAAGGATACAGCAGGTGCTCAATAAATGCTAGCTTTTTGGGGGGGGGCGCCTGGGTGGCTCAGTCGTTAAGCGGCTGCCTTCAGCTCAGGTCATGATCCCAGGGTCCTGGGATCGAGCCCCGCATCGGGCTCCCTGCTCCGCGGGAAGCCTGCTTCTCCCTCTCCCGCTCCCCCCTCCCCCGCCCGCTTATGTTCCCTCTCTCGCTGTGTCTTTCTCTGTCAAATAAATAAAATCTTAAAAAAAATTTTTTTTTTTTAAATTTTTGTTTGTGAAGTGGTTGAATTCCCAAGGTATTTTTTTTATGTCAGAATTCCAGGATTCCAGAGCCAGGACTTGCATTCCAGGCCCTGCCTTCAGTGTGCATGTGGTGAAAGGGAGGTTGGTGCCCCACAGCTTGGAGGCAGAGCCCGGGGGTTGGATCCCCTGAGATATCATCTTTCCGTGCCCACTGGGAACTCAAAATGCCAGGAATACATCTCACCCACCACACTTGTGGTAGCCGCTGAACGGCCAGAGAAAAAGCCAGGCTTTTCCCTCCCCCAAATGCAACAGCCTCAGTCCCTGCTTAGCCCCACCCCTCAATGGCCCTCTAGCTCCTATCTGGATCAGTCCTCTGTGGACCAGGCTCAGGGGGTGTATCTAGGAGCTCTTGTTAACTTTGCACTTATGTGTCATTTGCTAACTGGAGAGAAAGCTCATTGGGTTGGGGCCCCGCTCTCTAGAGCTGATTGTTCAGGAATGTTGCCAGCCAGGTGTTAAACTGTTAGTAGCTTGAAATTGGCCACAAAGAGACTATTTAAACCACAGAAACCATCAAATGCTGCCCATCAGGGTTTGCCCACTCCCTGAGCCGGTTTATCTGCCACCCCTGGTCTTAAGTTTCTTTGAATGCACGCAGGGCCCCCAACCAAAGGACTGGATACATTGTTTCCCATATGTAAGTGCACATGGCTATTGAAATACATATGAAGAAGAATCATTTTTTAAGATTTTTTTTTTCTTTTTAAGGAATCTCTACACCCGATGTGGGGCTCAAACTCACAACCCCAAGATCAAGACTCGCAGGCTCTACTGACTGAGCCAGCCAGGTGCTCCAAAGAATAATAATTTTTCTTTCTTTTTTTTTTTTTAAATTTTTTTTTTTTTTTTTGGAGGGAGCGAGCGAGCATGGGGGGGGGAGGGGCGGGAGGGAGAGGGATTGCATTTCAAGCTGACTCCCCACCCTGAGCACAGAGCCCATGCAGGGCTTGATCTCACAACCCCGAGATCATGACCTGAGCTGGAACCAAGAGTTGGTCGCTCAACCGACTGAGCCACCCAGGTGCCCCAAGAATGATCATTTTTGAGCAATCACTCCATCCAAGCACTTTTGAATGGATTATCTCACTGAATCTTTAAAACAACCCTAAGAGATTAGCTCTGTTATATTTCCTGGGTAGGGAAACCGAAGCTCCCTCAAGGAGGTGTAGGGAGCCGGAACTTACCTGAGGTTCATCTGAGTCCAAAGCCCCCGGTCTTCCCCACAGACTGCCTGTCCTACCAGCTTCCATAGGAAACCTGTCCCAGTACCAGGCCTGCTGGTCCCCAAGTTAGCAGAGTGGTTCCATCCGCAGTGCCACCAGTAATAAAGGGCAATGCACGGGACCCTCCCTCCACCCGCACCTCTGCTTTGCTCCCTCCATATTTAATCTGTCTTCCTTATCCTACCCACTTCCTTCTACATCATCCCCTTATCTGAACTAGGACCTTTTTTTTTTTTTCCCTTTGGGGCCATTTTTCAACAAGCCCTTTGACGCTCCATGTCCTCTTGTCTATAGAAATCCTTTTTGGCCTTAAACTTCTCTCCAAGAGCTCTGGCAGATATTCTCTGTGGACGCTGTGCTTTGTAACTGCCTTCAGGCCTAGACAGACGCCCTATCTCCTGGAGCAGTCCCTTCTGCTGACTGGGCTCCGTACCCAGTCTGGTCAGTGGGGCAGCTTTGGTCTGGAGGCTCCCGAAGGGCAGGACACGGGATTTTCTCCGACTGCTCTCGGTCCCCAGGGGCAGGCCAGGCCTGGGCACTGCTGGTGATGAGGCACATTCTGGTGGTTTCCCAATTCTGTCGTGTACAACGCAGTGCTCTTGTTCTCAGTAACTACTTCCTTCCTCTTTATGCAGAACACTGCCCTGGGTTCATTTACAGCACCCGTGCTTGGTCCAAGAAGTGATCGGTGTGGCTTGGGCTTTTGGGGTCAGGAAATAGCACACGTCCAAATTTCACCCCAAGGTGCCCTGTGTTCCTAGAGGAGAAGGGCACCTATCACTGCCAAACTTGCAATAAAAAAAAAAAGATCAGGGACTTTATTTTAACCAAACACGTCCATTCCAGGACTTGCCCTGACTTCCTGTGTTCCTGAAAATTCCTGAAACCTCAAGCAGCAACTCATCAGAAACTCCAGACCTCTTCAACATTGCCCTCCGCACTGCTCAAGTCCTAGGCCATGTAAATTCCCTCTGGGCCTCTGGGATTTAGAGATAAGCAGGTGAAAATAGGCTCATCCTCACTGCGCAACAGCCTGGTGCCTGTGGAAAAGCCACATGGCAGTTTGATGGTAATAATGCTCATCAATACCCTGGTCTCCTCTATTTCTTGCTTCCCCCTGGGTTAGGAGAGGCCACGTGATTCTTCTGGACAAGGAACCGCGAACAGATGTGTGTTACTTTTGGGCTAAAACACGTAATTGCCAAGGCTCGACTCTCCAGCACTCACGTTGCCTGCTGGAATGTTCCACATAGTGCAAAGGACAGATCGGAAACCTTTTAGGCTTTGTGATCCATACTGCAACTACTCAGCTCTGCTGTAGTACAAAAGCAGTCATAGATAATACAAACAAATAAGGGTAACTGGGTTCCAATAAAACTTTATTTATAAAAACAGGCAGCCACCCAAGGGCTCTAGAGTTTATCAACTGGGAGCTTCATGATTGTGGAAACTCCCACAGTCTGGGTCATTGGGTCATTGCCCAGAGGGCAGTTCTTCTTGAGAGTCACCAAACTGCAGCAAACTTTGTATTGGTGAGAAGTAAGACTTTCGGATTGTACTTACCTGAACAAAGCTTAGCCTGACCTGATTAATTTGAAGAGTCTCTGCACCGCCTTGAGAAAGCATGTGCCATTTTTCTGAAACAAAGGGAAGGATACTAACCATGCCCTCCTACCCCACATTCTAGAGAGGGTCCACTCTAACCCTTGCCTATCCAAGCTTAGCATCGCCCCCACCCTATGTCTCCCAAAAGATGCTTGAAAACTCTTTGCTATGAACTAGCTTTCAAAGTAACTCTGTGCCTTGGTTCGTACTGTTCTCCCTTCTGAAAATTCCTTTCATTCTCCTTTCTATCTACCTGAATCCTTCCCAGCTTCTCTTCTTCCTCCCCCAAGGAGCCCTCCTATCTTCTTACCATCTATGATTGCTAGTTTGGATCAGAGTTGCTGTCTGGGGTCATGGAAGAGAGAACAAGAGAGCCAGCCCTGTTTGCAAGAGACCCATGTTGGTAAAGGGTGGGAGCGGGGTTGGGGGGGTGGGGGGGGTGGGGGGAGGGGATCCACAGAGCTCACCCAGCAGAGTTAATGAAGAGAGGGATGGAGGGCAGAAGGGCTGAACCACGTATGCAAAAGAATCAATCTGTCACACCCACAACACATTGTTTGGAGATACATACCTACAGGAGTAAAGGACAAAGAGAAGCAAGGGAATGATTAATGCAAATATGAGGATTAAGGTCTGGGGAGGAAAGGAAGGTATGCTTTTGGGGAGGCTCATGTGAGAGTCTTGGACATCTTAGGTTCTGTGTTGGTACGTGGGTGATTGTTCATTATTCCTCAAACCACGCATAGGTTATATACGAACTCTTGGTGTGTGATATAGTTCTCAAAAAAAAAAAAAAAGTTTGGCTCAGGTAAGAAGGCTGTCTCAAAACTTGAAGCAGCAGCTGCCACAGCAATGGATCTCCCATGTTTTTGAATGCAAGGGTGAGGCTACAGAGGCCCAGCTCCACGCCAGTCAATTCCTAGACCATCGAGAGAAAGTAGCTGGGAGCCTGAGTTCAAGGGGACAATCGAAGGCCCCTGAGAAGGAGAACCTTCCTTAGAAAGTTGTCTCTCTACCCTGTCTTCCTCTCCCCTTTGGCAAAGACCCCACCTCCAGTGTCCCTTCGAAAGGTTGTCAGAGACTCACCTACCATGAGACACACCTGGCAACAGGAGGTGAGGCCACCTTATCACCCAGTTGGCTGGCGCAGGACAGAGCGCAGGCCCCCAGTGCTGCTTTTAGGAAATGCCATTTACTATGTTGGGAGTGGTATGGCCTTTGTCCCTTGGGGGACATGTGACATTTGGTGAAAATGTAATCTGGTGTAAAACAGCATGAACTCATCACTTGCAGAATGGCTTTGACCTTCCTGCTACTTCCAACAACCCAGACAGGCTTTTCTATCTTTCTAGTAACACCACGGGAGGAGAGAAGGTGGATGCCAGGGGCTAGGCAGGGATACAAAGTAGATTATGATATTTAAGAGCACCAGCTTTGCGGGTAAATACACGAAGCCGAGTTCAGAGCTCAGTTCCACCTGGAGCTACCTGAGTGACCTTGAGCAAGTCACTTAACCTCTCCGACCCTGCTTTTCTTTTCTTTTTAAGAGTTTATGATCCCGGAGTCCCGGGATCGAGTCCCGCATCGGGCTCCGTGCTCGGCGGGGAGTCGGCTCCTCCCTCTGACCCTACCCCCTCTTGTGCTCTCTCTCTCTCACTCTTTCTCTCAAATAAATAAAATAAAATCTTAAAAAAAACATTTTATTTATTTATTTGACAGAGAGAGACAGCGAGAGAGGGAACGCAAGCAGGGGGAGTGGGAGAGGGAGAAGCAGGCTTCCCGCGGAGCAGGGAGCCCGATGCGGGGCTCGATCCCAGGACCCTGGGATCATGACCTGAGCTGAAGGCAGTCGCTTAACTGACTGGAGCCACCCAGGCGCCCCTCTGACCCTGCTTTTCTCACTTGCTAATTGGGGATGGGCACAATCCCCACCTCACTGGGCTGTTAAATAAGGTAATTACCTTATTAAATAAGGTAATTCAAACAAAGGATTTAGCACAGAGCTGGGTTCGTAGTACATTCTCAATAGAGAGAAATCTCAATTATCACCGAGGAGACCTGGGATTTGCTTGGAGTAGAGGGAGCACTCCTGCGCTAGCCCCCATCCTCTTTAAGGAGAAAGACTAGGAAAAAAAAAAAAAAACAACCAAAAAACTAATGCTTCGAAGTGGCAAGGTCTACCCAACCCACTATCTTTAGTAGAAATAGCATCAATTTTCACTGAAAACTAGTAGCACAACATAGGTTGCAGGAGGCAAACAAAAGCCGGGAGTAGCACTGGAAGTCCAAGACAGGGGAAGGGAGCCGCCCCACCCATCAGCACCTGAGCCCCCCTTCCTGGGCCGGAACCTCCAGCCTCAGCCAGCTGCCCAGGGGGCCTTGGTGCTGCTGGCCTTCATGCTGCCTTCCCATCCTGGCGTGGACACCCTTTGCACCCTCCCTCGCCTTCCCCCAACGTCTTTCTGCTTCTCCTGGCCACCTGGTCCCTTTGTTATGGCAACTTGAAGCAGCAATAGGGAAACAAGAAATACGAAGATACAAAGACAACTGGTGTCCCCTTTTCCCCAGCGGGGGCTCACTCATGTCCAAGTATCCCCAGTGGAAATCCCAGTGCCCTTGACAGCCCTTGCGTGGAAAAGGCAACCTCTCCAGCACGAAGGACGGGGGCGGGCCGCAAGGGGTAACCATGAGGTTCTGGAACGAGACCCCAGGCCATGCCTCACTCCACCACTTACTACTGTGACCTTGGGGAGGCTCCTCCCCTCCTGTGTGCCTTACCTGCCCGGCAGTGACATTAAACTCTTAGAAAGGTGCCTGGCTCACAGGAAGTTCTTGGTAGGCGGTGGTGTTTTGTTGTGGGCCAGCTATTGCTGCCTGTCTCAGCACCCACTCCCCCCGACTTACATTCACAACATCCTTGAGAGCCGCCCCAGGAAATACCAACTGTGACCGTCTCTCTTCCAGGTCTCAGCTCCCTCTGTAGCTCAGACCATTGATGGAATGAGGATTTTCTACCTTCTGAGGCTACTACTGTTTGACTTGTTATTTTCTTTTAAAGATTTTATTTATTTATTTGAGAGAGAGAGAGAATGAGAGATAGAGAGCACGAGAGGGAAGAGGGTCAGAGGGAGAAGCAGACTCCCCGCTGAGCAGGGAGCCCGATGTGGGACTTGATCCCGGGACTCCAGGATCATGACCTGAGCCGAAGGCAGTCGCTTAACCAACTGAGCCACCCAGGCGCCCCTTGACTTGTTATTAATGGGCAGGTTTTTATTGCTCTGTTTTACCTGCCGCACATTGTCCTCTCAGATTAAAATAATGATACCTTCGGTTAATAATACCTCGCCCTTGGAGAGTTGCTTTCATCCCAGCAGCTCAAAGCCCTCTACAAACATGACTTCATTCATTCTCCCCTGCGCTCCCAGGAGAGGGACACTCTTGTGTTAACCAGCCTGAGAAGGGGAAGCCATACCCGAATTCATCTCCAACTAGATTCTCA